TTGACTCGTTAGCTTGAATTTTGTTGTGACGATGTTACCATGCTCTGATGATGTCCGTCATGACGGACAAAAGCTCAGCACCTTTTCACCGGAATCGAAGGTGATTGCCTTGGAAACAGCGTTAGCACGAATCTTCCAGTAAAGCTAATCGACAGCTGGTCAAGAGGAATCCGCCGTCGTCTTCTGGTGGAACCGACCTTCGAATCTCTTTACCCAACACTCACTCGAAATGGAAGTAAGCTCAACAATTATAAAACAAGAGATTCCTCGAAACCCAAATTTTCTTCGTATTTATAAATTAATTATTGAATAAGTCTTCTATTCAACACAGACAACATAAGGTGATGAAAAACCCATGGTGGAATTTTACCACTAAGCACATATCAAATGAACGCTTCGATACACACTGTCTTAAATATATGAAACTTAGGTAAAATGGCAGACCACAGGCAATAACGGGCTTATTTCGGACCTCGTCCCTAAGGAGAATGAAGACTGTTCTAGGTAAACATTTTTTTCTGATTCATGTATTCTTTAATCTTAAGGTTGCATGCCATTTAGGTACAACAATTACCCACCTAATTTCTATTAGATAGGTTAGAAGAAGCGTCATCCCCGAACTAAGTAATGTTTTAGGTAATTATGAAAATCTCAATCTACAAAAATAAATTATACAACTATCAATATAGAGCATTAAATCAAAACTACTTTAGCCACTGCCTGTCTGGGCAGACGAGATGGGATCCTTATGCCGGTGGAAATACCAGTGACTCCTGAGAATAGCTGTCCAGATGATGATCCACTCAAGTTGGCAGGGATGGAAGGATTGGAATCTGACGCTGATTTTGTCGCCTCAGACGAAACTTCTGAAACCATATCAAGCCCTTGTGATTCCACTCTATGCTTAAGATCACCTAAGCATGTTGGAAGTCCTGGATGAGCACTGGAAATGGTCACTGGAGAAGAGTAAGAAATAGGATTGGTGGAACAAGCTGTGGTGGTTGTAATCGGCGTACGAGACGGTAAGCGAATAGAGGGAGGGACAATGCCACTTGGCCTCGAAGTGGGTAGGCAAGGCGGGCTTGTTAGGTGAGTAGAAATGGCTCCAGGCGCTGCTCTAAGAGGATTGACAGGGGATAAATTAGAGAAAGAAGGAGAAGATGTGGGTGAAGAAGCATCAAAGTGGCCGGTGTCAGTGACAGTCGTGCTGCAAATGGCAGCTATTGACACAGAGGTAGAAACGACTTCAAACTCAGCAGATTGATCTGATTTATCGACAACTAAATTGAATCCAGAGTTAATTTGCTGACAGGAGACCTTGGGAGGACTTAAAGAATGACGGGTTGGCAAAGCGGGAGCAAGGATGAGAGGCGCTTTTATACCGGATGATCGTACTTGGATAGAAGTCTGAAGGATACAAAAAAGATTACGATAGCTTTAAAATAGAAACATTTTGATAATTAGACTGAAAATATGGAGAGGCCTTGCAAAATAATCAAAACCTGATTGAATATGAACCCAATGGAAGAGCCAAAATCTCAAAGTGCGAAGTACTAGAAAACTTGAAATAATAATACGATTTAAATTATTTGAATCCAAACAGCATCCAATAGTATTATGAAGGAACCAAAAAGCATGTGTTAACAGTTCAGAGGCATAAGGAGTAGAGATTCGCAGCCGAGTGTATGAGAGCGGTTTAAAACTGCCAACTTAAAAAGCTGGTATGAGTTAGTATTAAGATTTTTATAAGTATCCAAACGAAAATGAACTAATAAACCTATTATTAAGTAAACTTAAATCCCTTATTACTTGTTTTTATCAAGCAAAATTATATAAGCATGTTAAAATTAAACAATAGTGATAGTTTTAATCTGAGATCTG